TGCGGCCAACTCAAAGAGTCCAAAAAGGACTGACAAGGAGATCCGCATCAATGGACAGCACGCCGACAGCTTCCAGCTCTCTGAAACTGGCCTCATAGAATAGAGAGAACAGACTCTGAACTTTGTGCTTTTAAAATTACTATTACGTTAAATTTCCAGGTTTCATTTACAACCTTTCTTCCTTGCCTGCCATCTTCTAGTGATCTCTCTCTTATACTCCCATACTTTTGATTACAAGATGATATGCAGAGTAAAGAGAACTGGTACACGCATGTGAACTGAGGAGAGGCTGGATTAACCACCCAGGACAAAGTCAGGTACAAGAATCACAGTACTAATTCTTGAAAATTAAAAGAGCTACCTGCTGAATTCACCAGACTATGATTAAAGCCGCACTGACCCCCAAAGGAGAGGCCTTCAAAAATCCCAAAGTCAACCAAAATCGTCACTAACCAGCTTGTGATAAAACGGACAAGAATGCAAAAGAACAATCTCAATCAAAACTAAAATGAGGTCATTCAGAAAACATAAGCAACCCTGTTCATACATAATCCTAATTTTTTCTGTTACCTTAACTCCTTGGGGATACAGAATTGTATCAGTTTTCAGGTGGCTGAATTCACTCTTAGGAAGTGCTGCCACTCTCTCATGGCAGTGAAAAGCACTCCTGCTGTGCTTACTAAGCAAAATTGTAAATACTAAGTGTAGTTCTTCATTCTGTCACGTAAGAGAATATCTCATTTCAAGACAGGTCTATGAAGACACTATCAAAACACCTTGATGTATATGATAAATGCTACAGTGGAAATTTTTTCATATTTGGAAACACTGAATAACTTATTTAGAAGTGGAAAACTGACTATTCTAAATGAATTATAATGTACTTTTTTAAAAAAAAGGACCATACATTCCACGTGCTCTCTCACCTTTGCACTGCTTGTCTCAAGTAGATCTGACCCAGAAGGATGCACTATATACATGAGAAGTAGAACTGCATCCATTTATATTTTATGCTTTTAACATCAATATTTGCCTGTACACACAGCAGAACAATATTTAGACACTCAAATTGATTTTAAAATAAAAAAATTAAAACAAACTATACATGAGACTTCTGTATTTAAGTGCCTCATAAACCTACCGCAATTAAGACACTGTTCTGAAGCTCTTAATTTAAGAAGCTAAAAGATAATCAGAATGATGGATAATTCTTTCCAAGCTCTCAAGAAAAGCCTACTACTATTCATACTTGAATAGTCAAATATCAAAATAATATCTTTCAAAGGCAAAAGACTTTTCCCCAAGATGGCACAAACAGCAACTTTCACTGACAACAGTGTGATAACGCTACCAAATGTGCCTCCTTTTAACTTCCCTGGAGTAGTGAGGAGCAGGAAAAACACTCTCAAGCTGTCTGATGAGATACTGTTCAGCTGAATTCTTCTCAAGCCCCACAATCCAGAAGAGGGGAAATGGGAAACAGGGAAATGGGAAGCAGCCTGGTAAAAGCATTTCACACAGGGAAAGGGAAAAGGCAGAAGGTCCACGTTCTCACAGTTCATCTCTCAGTCCAAAACTGTGAAGTATTGTCTCTCCAAATCTCAGACAGACTCAGTTTTATCAGACTAACTTAAAACTTAATGTTACATAAAAGCCACCATGAATATTGTGAAGTTTGGAGAGCAACACACTATCGAGTGGCTTTGCCACTTCTCTTGGCTGTTGATCATACACAGTCTCAATTCCTTTGCCATCCTCATATCAGTACCAATAATTTCTATATATTTTTATAAGCTTTATTTTCACACTCCCTACCAATATAAGGTGTAGAAAAGAGTCCTACAAATTAAGAATCAGTGCAAGAACAGAAGAACAGATTCTAGTGTCAAGTCCAAAATAACCATTTAGGAAAAAACAGCGGTATTCTGTGCAAGGGATTTTCTTTTCCATATTTCATATAGTTCACTCTCAGACAAACAAATTGTTCTAAAATTCAGATGCATAATCCAAACAGGACTGTACTATAATCTCACCATTTAGAGCCAAAGCTATAAAAAGCTATTTCTAATTTCAATTAACATCTAATCAAAGTGTGGGACGCTATGTTTGGTTTCTAAATGACTTTATAGTTTGAAGCTGTCCTGGTTTTAAAATAATTTTCTTTTTATAGACCTGGTTTAAAAGGGGGTACAACAGCAAGTATAAAGAAAAAACTATGTTTAGTATACACTAAATGAAATCGTCAATTCATACATTTTGGAAGGTAAAGCTGAAGAATACTACAGAAACAAATTGACAAACACAACTGTGTAGTTACTTGAGAACAGCTGCAAAACAAGGGGTAGAAAAAAACCACTCCTATTACTTTTACAGTTCCAGAGAACTGGTGAACCAGTGAACCACTGATATCTGATAAAGCACTGGAAATATGCCACGGCCCAAATTGGAATACGAGCCTAAAAAAATTGCTGATGGGCTCTGATGCAACGAAATCGCACTCAAGGCTTTGACTAACATTGCAAGAGGAAGCTGGTGACAAACCTAAGGAAGCACTTCTTGCTAGTGAGGTAAGGAAGAAAAATAAGCCAGGCAGAATAAAGGAAAGCATGATTCAAAGAAATTCAATGTCTTTTATAAGCACTTGAATACTCTTTTTAAATTTGAGTCTTCTTAACCTAACCAAAAAAAAAACCCCACAACACATTCAACAGAACTCAACCAGGTTCCACAACTGACTGACTACATGTCTTGTTTAATCTACATTACAATTATTTATTACCAGTGGGTAATTGCTGGTAACTTATCAAAGTCCCTCAGCTACTAAGCTGGTATTAGTCAAGAGGCTGCACAGAAAATTAAGCAGCTTTTGTGTAGTTCTAAAAAGACAGCCAAGATCAGGAAAACAATTTGCTCATTTTCTTTGCTAATGGCCTCAGCCTTCCAGAAGTGATTTGCGTTCTCAATGAAGTCTGTCAGAACTGTGACAATCCGCAACACAAATTCGCAAATACTTTGTGCATCTTCAATTTGCATACTGAAACTAGGACCAAATACTGCTTATGTTGAGAATCAGTCAAATGTGAACACACAAACTGTTGCAAGCACTGAAAAGGCAACCATTGATTTTTTTAAGAATAGCATATTGATCTTATTTAAGAAGTAATTTTGTTGAAGGTCTATTACTTCTTTAATCTCATGATTTTTGAGGGGTTCTTGCTTTGTCAGCCATTATGAATGCCCAAAAGAATTTTAATATTTGATCTGTAATGTGATCATCCAGAAGAAAGACGATGAAACAAAAAGCTGGCAATGCAGTAAATTATGTAATCTGAGGCTAATCCAAGGCCCTATGAAAGAGCAATGAAAAACTGAAGCACAATAAAGAATAAAATCCTAAACTATGGAGTTTAACCAGGGTAACAGAACCAGTATCTGCTAGAGCACATTAGCCTGCACTACAAACTGCAAATCAATTCTCTCCTTGATCCTCCTACTTCCACTGCTCCCTGTGGTATGCTAGGGCTCGGCATTAACGTGGGACAGCTTCTGGAACATCTGTATCCCTGTTTCACACTCAGAATATTTTGTCATTGGAAAACCTTTACATAACAGTAACTATTTGTTCATTAATCAAGGCTTGAGTCACAACAGACCAAACACCTGTTACCATGTTTGTGCTCTCCACCTTACTTCTCTCTGAAGGTAAAGAGGAGCGAAATGGTCCTCCCACTAACTGCGACACTGACCTCTGACAGAGTGCAAAAAGGAATTTTTTAAAAAGTGTTTTAAAAAAGTAATTTTTTTATATTAAAACTTCAGAAAGGTTGCAGGTCTCTTACCTCTATTACACCACACTATAGAGAGCTTTCAGCCAAGTAAGATCAAACCGGAGGACAAACAGAACAAGAGACCTGAGGAGCAATCAGGTACAAAGCAAAGCTCCAGGATTTGAGGATAGACACAGCATCCCTCCCAGCAAACCACAACTTCCAACAAAGCACATGGGGATACCATTTCCTCTAGAAAATGGTTCTCAGCAGATGCATTCCAAAATCCTGGTCACTAGTAGCTGCTAAAAACAAGACATGCTCTACACTGCCTGAAGCGATAACTGCCAGGCTCAGGCAGATGTCAGCTTTCGAAAGACATCTCGCATGCTCTACATTCTTCTCAACTAAAAGATGCATCTCATCCTCAACTGACAGTCAATATTTTTATCACAGTCTTAATCAGAAATGTAGTCTGCATCTGCAAGTGTTGCAATTTTATCACACGAACATGAAGAGGCTAAACAAATAAAATGGAATCAACTGTAGTAGATATTGCTTCTACATCAATTTGTCTTTTGTAAAAAAATACAGTCTTGAAATCTCAGTAGCACTTGCTTTTTCCTATTGCCTTTTTTTTTTTTTTCAAAAGGTGTCTGAATATAAAGATACACTGAAAGTCTGAAGTTTTGCTACCGGTATTTAAATTCAGGTCATCTCAGATCAATAATTTACAATTTATAAAGCAGAAAAACAAAGCAGTCTTAAAAGAATATATGAAAATCAATTCCTACATGGAGAGAGGATTGGGAGGGCTTTGAAAGCAAACATGGTAACTTAAGACTCTTAAAACATGTGCGACCATGGCAATCTGGAAGATTATTAAAATGGCAATTTATGCTAGACTCACAGATATATAGGGGGACAGCTAGGCAGATACACATTCCCATCAACTTTTAATTGTAACTGAATCTCTTTGGCTTTGTCTTAAAATTCAACCTGCAGTTGTTGTTTCTGACCTCTGCTTTATAAAAATATGTTCACTAAGGAGGATATTTAGGAAAGACCATAAGATCCTCTGTATCCTTAAAAGATGACTCACTGTCAGCAAGATTTTACAAGTACAAACCTTCTCCCTAAGCACAGCTTTGGTACATGCTGCAGAAAAATAGCAAGGTCACGCCAGAAAACAATCAACACATGGTCCCACAACACAGAAAATCACTGTGGTTGTCATATAAGCAGTTGATAAAGCAGAAGTTCCTTGAATGCTCTTACCACCCTCAGAATATACATTTCACCATGTTTCATATCCGAGGTGACAACCCACTCCACTCCAAGTTCAGCTGAACATTGGAACAGGTCACAATCAAGGATCCGGTATTCTGACTGAACGTGGCCAGTGTGAAGCATTTAAGAAACAGGAGTGGAATGGCAGAGACTGGGACCAGGTGATAAATGAACAAACGGAATATTTGTATTGCGACTTAAACGACTTAAACTAGATGGACAGACTGGGAACCTCAGCACATTGCTGCTGGGAGCTACCTCAAACTAGCAAACATTCAAAAAAATTAGCATGGTCCCAAAGTCCTAGGAAGCAAAATGGCACAGAGCAGGAACGTCTGAAAGCTGCACTGGGAAGGCGCATTGCCACAGCACCCCTGTCAGTCAGTGCAGACTCCCTTCACAGATACAGGAATTTAGTTCCCGCTGCAGACATATCACCCTAATTGATTAAACTGAACCTACTCGCTGTAGATTTTTCTTGCCTAAAATTTATCTAATAGCAAAAGTAACAAAAAATTCAGGAAAACAACACTTCAAGAACACATTTAGGTAATCTGGCACAGTATCACGAACCTTGTATCGACAATATATGTGGAGCAGTAAGAAAGGTTTAAGTACGCAGAGGTCCCTTCCCCAAAACACACCCTGCTCCTCCCTCCCACTTGCTGCCCATACAGTAACAAAACCATACCTGGATCTTTTCGCCCTGGTTTTTCAAAGCGTCTGTCTCCCCTAGAAAGGCAGAATAGAAGTTTCAAATAAGGTTTTGGAACTACTCCAGTCATTTAAGGTATGCCTTGTTTTTGGTTTTTTTTTGTAATTATTATTTAGTATGGGGCTTTTTTAATATCAGAGTTTGAGGAACAGGGTTTTTAAAGGTCCAAGTGATAACTGAAATTTTCAGCAACACGGATACACTCACAGCCTTTGGCAACTAGGTATGCTTTGAAATGTGACCCCAAGTACTGTCAAAAAAAGTTGAGACCAAAATTGAAGAGAATCCTTTAGCAATCCCCACTTTCATCATTTCCACTGCAACTGTCATCATTTATATCTTCCCAGGAATCCACCAGAAAAAAAAAATCTTGGCAAAAATGCTTTTACTTGCTCCTGAGTTTCTAGAAACATTACTGTGTTGCCTCCATCTTTGAAATTCAGACACTCCACTCACAGACAAAATCTAAAGCACCTTTGCTGAAGTACTTTTATGAAGTCAAAGGGCAGAAATGGCAGTTGAGCAGATGCATGTAAAAAACTTTAAGTGCTAGAGTTCTGTTACCTTTCCTCCCAACTCTGTGATCTGTGCATTTCCCTGCCCCCTCCTCGCCCAAATCCACCCTCCACTTCATCAAAACTTCTTTGGTAGAAACCGCTTTCTCCTCGGCCTCTGCCTGAAAAGACAAAAAACACAAGCATTTGTACAAATAATAATAGAAATTGAAAGATTCAGGTAGGTTTTCCTTTCCTGGTGTCCCTGTGAACTAATGTTGCAGTCTTAAGCCCCAGCGAAATTATCTAGGGCAAAGGGAAAAAGGAACAAAGACTGAAGAAAGAGTCTTATGTAAAAATTTTTATCAAGAAGCACAAGATCAGACAGGATAGGCAAACAATTCTGAAATGAATACTACAGAGAAAAAACAAACAAAAGAGATACTTACCAAACAGAAATCACCAAACAAGGATGCATTGTTCACACAACATCCACACAGTACATGTGTACTTTACACTCACAAAAATCAGATTGTTTTTAACAGCAGAATCCAATAATGGTACTGCACTGCAGAGGTACTCATAATTACTGCTGTCAAGGTTAATAACAGAGAAGACAGCTTCACCACTATTAAGTTCTAGTCATTCCCAGCAGAACACTTCCCCAGGAGCAGGGGAGAGAAAAGAAGGATCACAGGATGGGTATAGCATGATACACCCCAATAGCTATGGAATAAAAATTAGCCTCCTCACTTTTTCAAGGAATTATTTTCCTTAGGTGGCCACCAAATATCAAGCCTCAAGCCAAAAAGTTACAGATGTATCCTCAAGTAACGCACCCTGAAGCAAATCTTCAGTGTTTGCATGGGCATGGGGTGCTTGGTTAAAAAAAAAAAAAGTAAAAAAGAAAAAAGGCAACAGAAAAACAACACCCACACACATCCCCAGACGTTCATGACAGCTTCCAGCACTTGTTAAGATTAATGGCTGGGGTGAAGTTTCCAGATGTACAAGAGATAAATACTGCTTCACAAAGCAGAAGAAATGGGAGATTTTTATCAGCTAACTTATTTCAAGGATCTCATAGAAAGAAGACAAACAAGTGAAACACATCAATCAGCTGGTTGTCAGGTTACTGCCTTCCATACACACGCGTGCAGGCTCCACAGCCAAGCCCAAGACCTGCAAAACACCTGATAAAGGGAACTCCAGGCTGCAAAACTATCCCAAACCTTTCATAGTTCTCTCTTCCTGCATTCAAGAAAACAAACATCCCAAAGGAAGAGACACAAACCTGGCCAGGGATCTGGAGGAATCAGAATAACCAACTGAAACAGCAGATAAACACCTCAAGAATGGACTCCAGTCTCTGTAGCCTTTGGAATAAAGTAGTAACATCTAAAAATCTAAGGATCCCTGGATGCATCAAGGAATTGTACTATATTTCAGTGTCTTATAAAGACAGGCTCTAAAAGGATGGAGACGATCAAGGCACTCGCAACAGTTTCTCTACTATTCTATACTAAATCTCTTGGAGGAGTGGAGAGGAGGGAAATGGAAGTTGTTTTCCAGTAAGAGAAAACGAAAAGCGATACCCAGATAATCCAGCCAGGCTCCTCAAATACACAGCAATTTCACAGCAGGCAGTACAGGTTGCAGAGTGTATAAGGAAGCCACAAAGTTAACACCTGCACAATTTCTCCCTCTGCTTCAGAAGTAACGTTTAAGCACCCTCTTTAGACATAACTATCCTGCTCCTAGCACCAGCAAAGGAGCTCAGCAGCAGACCGCCTTGCCAGGGAGATGTGAACTTCCTTACCACAGAGTTCTGGGGATGTTTAAGTTCAGATGAAGTCTGGACTAACCCCTAAAAGGTAAATAACGCTGAGATTTACTAAACACAGAGACCACATCTGGTTCAGGAAATACACTGAGCTGCAAACATCCAGAAGCTGAGCATACACGTGATGCTTCTTCACCTCTATATTTTTACACAGTCCATATCCTCCTGCCAAGGTGTCTTCTTTTGGCTGTTGCTAGAGACAGACTGCTGAGTTAAATGATTCACTGTAGCATTCTTACACAAGCCCAGGTGGACACAGAGCAGCTGACTGACCACTCCAGGCAAAAGAAGGAAGACCTAGGACTGTACTAGAACACGAACACGTTCACTATGGCAAGTCTGATATTACAAGGCTGACCACAGTCACAAGTGCGAACTAAGTTGCAAAGGCAAGAAACAGTAAAGATGTGATACAACATCAAAAGCAGCACAATGTTTACCCAATTAAAGCATTATGGGTCGGTCCCCCATGATCCTGGACAAGGACTCCAAGCTGTTATTCTCCACAAATAAACTCCAGGAAAGTTTAAGCATCTCATGTGCTGGCAATCTTCGCCTAGTTTCTTCACTACAGGAAAGCTCCCTTTATCTCACAGGAGATAATAAAGCAAAAGCAGTTCACAAGAGAAAGCCACAGGCAGGCCAAGTCAAAACAGAACAAAGGCACTGACTCATCTCGTGTCTCTGAGATAGTGGAGGTGGAAAGTTGCACACACTTCTTCAACAGAAACCAGTTTTCCTTTTCTGGTTTTTTGGTGTTTTTTTTTTTACAGTGAGTGACAGCAACATTTGTAGTGCTCCCCTCGCAGTGTGAGCAAGCATGAATGCACACTGATCACTGATAGCAGACAACCAGCAGAGCCAAAAGGCCTGCAATATGGGAGATTTCATCAGCAAATAAAGTAAATGCCCTGTATAACAGGGAAGAACAGTTGTTTTAAGAGCAGCACGGCTTTCGGCAGGTTTAAAAGAATGTAAAACGGCCTGGGAAACCTCTCCACTTACCCCCTCTGTGTCACGGTTCATCAGTATCTCAGTTGTGCTCAGCCAACTAAATGGTCTGAATCAAAAGATAACCTTGCAAAAGATCCAAACAAATTCTCTCAGCAATTCAGTTTAAAGCTGACAGTGGGACCACACTACTCAGGTCCCAGCTGTGGCAATACCACGAAGTACCAGGCAGGACCTTTGCCTTGATTCTGTTGCCCCCCCTACGGTACCCACACACCTCTGTGCATGGGCAATTCCAGCACAAACCAAACAGACCAGCCCATGAGCAGCTTACCCCATTCAAACAGATCTGACCAGGCTACAGAAGATAAGCAACTAATTAAGGAAAACAGTGTTCTACAAAGTCAGTTATTTAGCGTTACGGAGATAAGTCTGACCTGAAAGCGCACACTAGGACACGGTTAATACTGGTAACAGAACCTTGGAAAAATGCTTGCAGAGAGGATAAAGCTGCACATACAAGGACACTGTTCACCGTTCCATTTCTGCACTTCTTGGCACTTTTTTTGTAGCTAATAAAAACAGAGTGACATTCTTGTTTTACATTGAATGCCATTTCTGGAAAAACGCCTGGCACATGAGGGGTAGGCCTTGTAAGTGTAGATGTTGCACCGAACATTGAGGGCAAAGGGAACAGATGTCAATAAACCCTTCCACTGAAGAGCTGAACAGAGCAGCTGTGTCATTTGTATGTCAGTAATTCCTTAGAAACCTCAGAATGAGAAACTCAATCCAGTGATATTGTAACAGCCAGAAGCCTCTAATCTGAAAAACAGACAAGTCTATGTAAAAAAGCAAGACACAAGCAAGAGGGCAAGAAGCAGCACACACTCATTCTAATTGTCACTACAAAAAACTCTGAAACAGCAAACACAATGTAAAAAGCAAACTCTTTACATTCCATCATGACTGAGAGCTAAGGATCTACAATCACAGTCACAATACCGTGTGGGAAGAGCAGGATAACTGTAATTCAGCTGGTGCAGGTTAGATATGAGAACTTTCCACTTTCACACCATTTACACACTTCCCAAGAGCAGCACAGCCAGATTACAAAGGGGAAAGAGGGTGGGAGGGGAAAGAGCTCTAATGGAAAGCAAAGTACCCTTTTAAGGGTCTTAACCAACAGGAGAACAGCTACAAAACGAGGTGTCTGTAAGCTTACAGCCCATTCCAGGGACTATTTAAACCTCTCCTTGTCTGAGGCTCTTATTCATGAATGTTGACATTCCAGTCCAGCCAGCACAAAGCACAGGGCTTAGCTGCACACCACAGGGAGCTCCCAGGAAAACAAGTCAATTAGAAAAAAGGTCACGTGCAAGTACTTGGTTTCTTCAGCGAATGTAACTTCAGAGCTAAATAAAATGTTTTGGATTTACACGGGACACACGGTCTTAGTGACAGCAGTCGCATGCTGCAAATGCTTTTTAACAGTAACACCAAGATGTATTTCAGCACAGAGTCTAAAAAAAAATTTAAACAAAAATCAGAGCAATGACCACAGTAATAATTTTCATATCAGCTAAAGACAATCCTTGTTAGTGAAACTTGGGGTGACTACTGAGAAAATATTTACTGAGTGTTATGTTGTAGTTTTAAACTTTGACAAGGGAAGTCACACTCAGAGCTCTTAACAATAACCTCCCTTTTCCAGCAGCAGTTCATCCATTCTTCCCTTTGCCAATCTGTCACAGATTGCCTTTCACGCTCCCAAATGCTGGATTCCGTGCTTTATGCCTCAGTGAGGGAACTTAATTAACAAATCTAATCGTACATGCAAATTCTTCCCTGAAGTTACTGTTGTGCAAGTCATTTCAAGGCAGGAATCTGCTTTTGGTAAAGCTGAAGCCCGCACTTGATCAGCAGCAGTTTTGCCGCATACAATGATGTTGCCCGGTGTTTTTCGTGAACTTTACCTTTTGAACCCAGGGAATTTTACAACGCAATAAACAGTTGGAAAACATTTTTCATAAGTGAAGCAGTTCATTTAGTGAACAAACTTTGAAAAAACTCCAAGTCCTTTTCACGGTAACTTGAAAAAACAGAATTGCATTTAAAGCTTGCTACTTGCAGGCAGTATGTTAGCTTTCCAAGTTAGATGTCAACAGTCCTACATTGAGCTTCTCATAAGTAAACTATTAGGAAAAAAAAGTCCTTAATGACAAGAACATCATGTGCGTAATTATGAAAAAAATGCACAATCCTTCCCTGGCAGAAGCTCTAATATGTTTGCTGAGATACAGAAATTTTAGGCAGACTCACTGTGCCTACAGCCCAAGAGAAATTGCTCATGGAAAGGAAAGAGGAGGAGTGGAAGAAACAAGCAGCAACCAGGATCAATGGAAGAGGGAAAACTCAGTAATTTACTAAATAAATTTACCAGAGAAATGTGCCCTTTACAGCTTAGCAGAAGATGAGAAAGACTAGCCTAACAAGTACAGCATATAACAATTCATGCAAGTTAAAAGAAAAAGATCAAATGAGGATGAAAACAAAAATAAGTGAAAAAGATGAATCTTGAAACACAGTTTCTTGAGCTAATATTTCTTAATATATCTTAAAATGATAACAAAACAGGAATGATGCAGTAGCAGCTTTCAGACAGTCTTAACAATACCATATAAGTTCTGCCCAGTAAAGTGTAATGAATCAAACTTTATTGCCAAACAAAACTTCCATGCATACAAATAGATTCAATAATAGCATTACTGGATTAAAAGCCATATTCTGCCACATTTAACCCTATGACCTCACTGAAACTAGTGAGGGCAATTAAAAAGCAACCCGTTGTTAACGGTACAGGAGAAAAAAAGAACGAAAAACTTAACAAATGAAAGAAAAATAAAGGGCTTATCAAATGAGAAATTATCAGGGTATCTTGATATTGTAACTAGAGAGCACACTAGTGGTCATACAATCTCAAGTCACCAGATTTTAAGCAAAATTCATTTCATTTGCAGAGTTAAGCCTTAATGCATCTGCAAAAAACCAAACAGCCAGTACGTTTTCCTAGCAAAAGTCAATCACGCACGGCAGCAATGCAATACACACATTAAAAGCATGAAGCAAAAAAGGAACAGTTTTCAAATGTCCAACAGAAGACATGTAACAAGGTTTGTACACGAGTGTCAGCCCAAATCCCTATAGGTGGTTTGGGTTTTTTTTTCTTTAACTAAGTCCTGAGCATTTGGGCAAAGACAATGATAAATAAAAAAGGGGAAGTGACAGGGAAATCTTGGGATAGCTTTGTTAAAGTTTAAATGTATATGCCTTAGCTGGGAAGCAACCACAGGACAGATGAAAATCTACAAATATCTGAAAGATGTAAACCAAGAATAAAGCAGGATTAAGGAATAAGAAGAGGAAAAAGAGAATAAATGAAGTGCTAAATTCAAATATTTAATTATAAATGAAATTGATTACTGAAGATGTTCTTGAAAATATCACCAGTTAAGGATATGTGGAATTAAATTAGAAATGACCCTGAGAGAAATCTCATCTAAGCACCAGCAAAGACAGAGGTCACATGATTATCACTCCTGATATTTCAGAGTTACTAGCTTCTTAGTATTCTAAGTGTAACCCATCATACTCATATATATAACCTCCCAAAATAGCGTACACAGCAGTACACACATTGAAAAGGAACTGCAAAGATAAATTGTGGATTTAACAATTTGTTTTGAATCTAGTGCTATGGCTCAAGGACATTTTCTCAATTCATTTGCAAACGTCTGAAACCATCCAAGATGAGACACCGACTACAGAGATACAACAAAATTGGCAAGACTCAAATTTACCCCAAAATTTGATTATGTCTTTCCATTAACCTTCTCCTATTTATTCTCAGGATCTTAATAAATACAAATGATTTTTCAGAACACCGAACCCCACCTACTACAATCTTAATGTTTAAAATACATTTGTGGATTCTACTCCCCTTTTGCTATAAATTGGTTTTATAACTTGAATAAAGTTATTTCTAACAATTCTGAACCAAACAATTTACGATTCCACCTCAAAATTACGTTTCCCTTTAGTTTTTCACACCCACTACTCTCACAAAGGCACATAACACAGGTGCCAGATAGGCACTAAGGTGTGCAAAACCACGACTAAACACAATATTCATTCCCACCACCACCCCACCGGAAAGATTTCAAAGCTTTAAGGGAAAAGAAACTGGGCAGGAGAGAAAAATATTACTATAACCAAGTTCCACTCGACTTTCAGAAGCTTTAACCTGCATACATTGCAGCACATCCCACTAACAGCTCACCTCGACCTCTAGAGGAACTTCGACCTCGAGGAGCCCCTACCACCGTTCCTCCTCCACGTCCCGTCAACCGCAGGACCGCAGCACTGTTTACAGACATCGAGAAATTTCTCTGCCAAGAAGAAGAAAGAGCCAAGGTGAGATTCTACTAAAAAAACAAACAAAAAAAAAAACAGTAAAACCTCCATTATCCTACATTTAGCTTAATATCAGCTTTGTTTTCCTTATGCTTGTTACAAATTCTCTACAACTGACAACTGCTAAGAAAGTAAAGGATTCTTTGAAGATAGGAGTCGCTGAAGCCGTCTGTAAAAGCACCTTGGTCACTGTATTACTGCTTCCAAGTTACTTACCTGACGTTTTCATGCTCTTAGGCCAACAACTGACCATCTACTCTTGTATCAGACAATTCCAGCACAGAAATGATTGGAACATCAGCAGCTTTAAACATAGCTGTTCCACTGCAAAGCAAGATTGTCACCTGCCTATACCTGACATTATTAATTAACAACCATTCTTCGTAAGCAAAGCAGGCACAGGTGAAAAGCAATAGAATTGAATAAAATTATATTTACCAATTACCTTTGCAGAAAAGTTGGGTGTTTTCTTTCTAAATGTGTCATAGGAGTAATATGCTTTGGGGAAAACTAAGTTTATTTAAGTCTTCTGGAATTTAAGTGATATTCTTTGTAACAAGACAATAAACACCAGTAAAATTCAACTTTAACATGAAATAACTGCTAAAGAAAAAGCTATTCTGATAAAGAATGAATAATTATAACGAACTCTAGCCCCATTCTCTGAGTACAAATAGTTGGAAAACTAGGTCAAATAACTCAGAAAGCTATTGATCAGATTCACTGTCTTGCACAGGAGATTCCTCAAATCTTTTATGCCCCACTTCTAAAATAAGAACAGAATAATAAACTCATTTCCTTTTCCAACTTTATTTGACTTTTCTGCCAGAACTCTGAACAAGTTCTCCCTCCCCTCTGTCAAGCTTGCTGTGGTGAAGATGTGACCCCTACAATGGGTCCACATGCTGAGAACACAGTAAGTAAAAAAAAGCAAAGTGAAAAAAGCAAAAAACACCCTATTATTGATTAGTGTATTACTCCAGTGTCCAATTCTGACAAAGCACACCAAGGAGCAAGGCTGCCCCGAAACAGGGGCTCAATTATTTCTTTAGTAGTAAATGGAAGATGTCCCAAGAAACAGAACCAATGATGACATACACACAAAAAAAATCTCTGTTATATTCAGCAAAAGCTTGAGACTCCCTACTCCACCAGCAGGTAAAATTAAGACAAGTGTTTTTTTTCCCTAATGCAAATAGGAATAAGGGAGCTGGGGGGAAAGGCAAAGGAACCTAAGATGCAAGTTGCCAGTGGTCAGAGGTGGAAACCTGTTAAAAGTATCTGCAGAAACCTTTCCCTCCAAAAACAGTTCCCTGGAAATCAATCTTAGACAAATCCATGATGTCATGCAACAAAATTTACCACAAGATGAATCAGTTGAGTTCTAGGTTAGCTTAGCATCCTTGTCACCAGGGAAGTGATACTCTACACAAAAAGGATAAAAAGAACCAGCAGGTCCAGCTCAAGTATATCCATGTCCTGTAACAAGGAATACTGTAGCAATAACTATCTGACTAGTTAAATTCCACATGACTAAACAGATTAAAGGTTAAATTCACAAACCTGACATTACCTATCATCCACCTCCAGATAACACATCTTTAAATCAGCTTGAGCCAAGTTCTTCCCAGACGTGCTACATATAAAACTACAATGCTATCAGGTGTGTAACTCTTGGGCTGCAAGCAAGAACTGCTCTGAATTCAAGCCCAGAGTAAGCCTGATGGATTCATCTTCACTTGAACACCACCCTGAAGTACCAGTGTTCTGATCAGCGTGTCTCCCCAACAGGACTCCCAAATCTTCATCCCTCAGGTTCTAAGAGAATTACGCTACCTTCAGCATTCACAAAGCGGGCACAAGGGCATTTCAAACTGTTATTACCCTTAGGTGAAAGAACTTTCCCGCATCACAATGAAGTCATTACTCACCTCAAGATCTGAACATGATTCTTGGTGATGAACAACATTTATTGTGTCATGGGGAACAAACACCAGGAATTTTTGGCAGCTTAAATAGTGCCGTTGCCTTGGTACCTCAAATCAGTCATGAAGGGGGAAAAAAAGATCTCCAGACAAGAAAAAAGAGATTGTTCACATATTCAGGAATACGGATCTCTTGTTTCAGAATAACATTTTTGTTGGGATTGTAGAGAACTGTTAAACAAACTGAGAAGACTCCTGTATGATTACAGGTGAGAAGGAGCAGGGGAAAAACAGTGACACAGTGCACACCAGCTCCTCAGAAGCCTTCCAGACCGATGAAACAGGAGGCACTGCAGAGGATCACCTCATCTGCACAAAGAGGCTACTCAGTACATTTTCAATACCATAGCCTTAAACTCGTATTATTCCTCTTGGAGAGTATCTTGACAGTCACCAGAAGTCCCATCTCCCTGAATTGTAAATAGCTTTTAGTTTACTCTCTGAAAGATTCCATTACACATCAGCAAAAAACAAACAAAAAAAAATTACCAAAAGGTATTTAACACCAAGGTTCAATATTTTGGTGTGCTACTGTAGGTCTGGCTGACTCTCTCCTGGGCTTGCTGCCTGAAACCCTCCTGTTCCCACTGAAGAATGAGACATGGGCAAAAATTTCCCAAAAAAGCAGGTTCTCAATCGCAATTGCCTTTTAATACTATGACACAAACACCTACAGTGTATTCACATGAATATAACTGCTGAATAGAGCCTAAACTACTAGCACCTTAAGTCAAAGGACAGCATCCTAAAAGGACCCAAGAAATACAAATCAACTCTGAAGAGGAATGAATTCCAGAAGTGGTGAAGAGGATATGCTAGAATATCCAGGCACAGAAAGATTATAGAAAAATTCAAGAATATGATAGTGTGGGACAAAGGAAGCAGGATGATCTGAAATCTTGAGAAACTAACATTCCCCATCCCTCCAAAAATCAAAGTATGTTTAAGTTAACAAAAATACTCAGTCTTTTATTAAAAAAAGTAACAAACAAAAATCCAACCACAGCATTCTGAAAGAAGAAAACTGCTAAGAAAAGTGGCAAAGCAGAGAGCAACTGCAAAATCAGAAGTTCTGACAGCCACAGAGTGGGCATCGATTTAAAACTCAAAGTCAGAGGCACTTATCCAGAGCAGGGCAGTTTTCTCTGCTAGGAACCAAATTTAAAGCATGGGCTTTCAAACCACTCAAATCAGTCACCCTTGAAACAGTATCTTTGTGGACCACTTGTTCTAATTCTTTATCTTGCACACCAATTAATTCTATACCTATAGAGATCGGTATCAATCAACTGCTTACACACAAAGTAGTTAACGGCACTGCACCTTTCTAAACGTTAACAGTCACAAACCTTCAACGCTTCTCCAATGACCACAAAACCAAATTCACTTGGATACTTCTATTACAAGACTGAAAGTGGCCCAAAATCTGCAGAAAAAGTTTCACTGATCTGAAAATGCTGTGTATTTAAAAAATACATAATACTTCCCTAAAGATCATCCTGGATTTCACAAGCTGACGGTCTGCCAGCAACAGAACATGGTATGAAAAGTACTGCTCAATTTAAGAGAGTAACTCAGTAAGAGAGGAATTTAAACTTTATGCTAACGCAGTATGCTTTCATAATTTCTTTACTGAAAATCTACCAAACTCAATTTTTATTTTTTAAATGGAGGCATACTCCTTATTTTGTCTTTACACTAATGATAATCCAGAATTTATTTTTTTAAGAAAAGGTACAAACCTGTTCTTCTTCTGTAAAAGGTACAAGTGCCAGTGGTGGCAGGGGCTCCTCTTGTAAAATAGGCAGAAACTCCTTATCCAGAAGGTCTGAAGGTATCTATATGAAAGGAAAATAACATACAAATTTACCCAAGTATTTACATTTCAGAGATGATGCCGCATACTTTGATTTACCAAAAAAACTGCCAACTCTGTCTCCATCTACCTGCTACACCAATACTTCCAATAACACTTACTGGGGGTGGGTGTAATTCCACCACAAATTTACACCCCTCAGAAAAAACAATTCTTACAGATCAAACATCTAAAGCATCCACTACCCACAACTGTAATATGTAAAGTATCAAGATTATATACATCACAATTCAAACTTCCACTCCAGCTTAAATATAAACCGAGTGAAATTTCACCTTGTAAATTAGAAGTATTGATTTAACTTTAACGCACTTTTATAGCCAGATTATTATATATTAACAAAACTATCATATACAGCACATAGGTTGTATTTGATTTAAAGTCAGCATTTCCAATTTAGAACCAACAAGGAGGGAAAAATAAACAACAAAAAAAAGTAAAGCAAAACTACAGGTATAGAGTTATAAATCAGAGAACACTAAGGATTTAAATAAAAATTTTAAGACTAATTTTTTAATCAGACCATTGTCAGATGGAAACTCCATCAGCAGATGTGACCTTGAGCACGTGGACAAGAAGCTGCAATTTTGGCCAAGTGAGCTTGTAATTATGTCAACGGAATTGTTTCAAATATGTCTAGTTCACAATACTAGAGATAAAGATTTCTCCCAATTTTAATTGAGGCAAAGAAACCTAGGGTTTTATTTTTAATTTTGGTTTATGTTAGTGAAAGTATTCCTGCTTCCAATCAGAGTATCTTTTAATTAGAGAAGTAACTCTGCCTAATCCTCAACCAGTGAAAATCAAAGATGACACAATGAGAAGGGACTAGGGCACAAGATACAGCTTAAAAACATCGTATCTGCTACTTGACTAGAAACAGCATCAAGATTCCTCTCAGTCTCAATAACTAGAATCACTCAACACCATGGAAACACACGTGTATCAAAAGCAAGACATACTCTAGTAATAATGCCCTTCTGGCAAACACACAGGGAGAAAATATTCTTTTGAATCATTCATAACCATCAGAGAAGCTTCCTGTAACACTGGGCATTAATAGGTTGTTCTGAACCAGTCACAAGTGTAGAGGTCTTAGCATCATCTGATATACACAAATTGCAAAAACCAATGACCTCTGACAGGCTGACTTATTCGAGCATAACATCGAGGTTTAAATCGCAGCTTCTCAAAGTAGAGCAGGATAATTCTGCCTATTAAAGCATGGCTTTAAGCTATAACACACTTAACAGCTTTAGAAAAATCTTTGACATTCAACACCCTTGAATCCATGCACAAGCAATGCAGGGCTCCCAGCGCCGTATGAACATGTCAGCACCGTTGTGGCAGGGTAAGAATGTGGAGGTTTGGGTGCACACCTATATGTGGAGCTAAAGGCACAACCTGACATCAGTTCTTGCAGTCCCTCCCTGACTCGAGGGATTCAGAGTTACAAGTCACTGTGCCTGCTGCAACAATAAACCAACCTCTGTCACCATCTACAGAAAAAAACATTTACAAATGCAGAACGCGTGAATCTCTTACACGAAGCGTTCACCGAACTATGACTTTTGTATCGGTAAAAATCTTTGTTTAAAATTACACAGGAGCGAAGTTTTTGACTTTCTACACTGCTCTTCCATATTATATGTGCTAGACTGTATTTGTGTCTTGAGTCCCAAAGAAGTGAACTACTTCAGGACTCTCCCATCAAGCCAGTTACCTGCGAAAGTGAACTGCCTTAAGTCAGGATAAACTGGGAGCTCCTGCCTTTTCTGGATGAGCCACTAATATGATTTACTGCCTGACTTTCAAGCTGAATCAAGTAACTATTTTACACCACATTAAATAAAATCCTGCTATGGCAAACAAATTTGCACAGCTGCAAGGAGACTTTAACCCACAGTCATCTGTGGCAGTAGGACTGATACATGGCATCAGGCTTTTTTGTTCTCTGGATTTTGCCCCCTAAAGGGGCAAAAATAATCAAACATAACAAACACACTAAGAGCGGGATCTAATAAGCACATGCACACACAAAAAAACTCCCCACAATTGTACCTCTGAAGAAGAGAAGTTCTTTGCCAAGGGTACAAAATTTCTTTGTCCGTAATCACAAAATGCGAATAACTACTCCTAATCACAAGACTGTCATTAGGAATACACACATCGGGCTTTCTTCCTCTTCCTGCTCACCTTATTATCCTTTAGAAAAAGTGCCAACATTTCTTCTCTCCCATAGCGATAGTCTGCTAGTTTGTACTTTGGCAAAGCCGGAGACAGAGGAGGGGATGTCACGCTCCCGCCGCTAGACAAAGCTCGCAGCCTAAAATAAAAGAAGAGCAATGAAAACTCATTGAGGAGAATGTGTCTTCACCCATGCTTATCATATCTTTGTATATTGACATAAATGAAATAAATTCAGTCCTGAATGTAAAGACATTAGCAGTCTACCTTCAAAACTCTAAACATCAGTGTTTCAATGATTAAAGTGAAAAAGCCTCCCTCGTTTTTCCCATAGCTAGAAGTGAGGGAAAAAAAAAATTATATTCCCAGGAGCACATCACGACATTTAACTCATGCCCTGAGGAACTCTTTAAGCTGACTATATAGCAAGCTAGTTACACCCTTAAAGCCTTAACTAAGTTATTTATACTGGCTACACAAAAAAACAGTTGTAAAATTTCCACAGATATTAATGACAACAGCTTCTTTTTTACAAGAGAAATTCTTACCACACTAGGGACAGGGCAGCAAATATTAGCCTAAGGAAAAAGTTTATTCAGACGTTTCACAAAGTTTAACAAACACTATAGGACAGTAAATCCTGCAATGACATTTCTTGTGGTATCTCTGGAATCCTACTCTACTCCTAATTCCTCTTCCAGAGCTTAAAATTAACGGCATTTATCACTGAGTGCATACATCATTTAGCTTAATGTGTCAAAAAAAAAAAAGTACAAAATACAGTCACACTTCAGAGACATTTCAAGCAGTAATCTAGCTTACAGTAACAGACAAACATGTGATTAAGTTTAGTCCCACCCTAGACAGGTGATCTACTTCTTGCAGATACCATCCTGCAGCTGGATGATATTATTCCCACTCCACTGGTGGATTAATGTCATTCTCTACAATCATATCCTCACCTATCCAAATACCCTGTATTTTAAAGTTTGAAAAATGTTTTACAAAAGGATGTGTATCAAGAAACAAAACCCAGACCATTCTACATTCTCCTTGATGTGCATCTTGAACAAACAAAACAATGAAATATCTTCTCAACAATTACAAAATTCTTTGAAATGAAGGCATTCTAAACTAAATCACTGATTCAGAGGCTACCTTTCACCTAATTACTGAAGCATGCTTTGATTCGGTTTATTGTTCTTAAAACAGAAAGGAAAAGGCAATTTGCAAGTCAAATATTTATCTTATTTTTTTAGTTTGGTGCCACCCAGTGGCAGTTTCTGTGAATACCACCTCAAAACAAAAAACGCCGGGGAAGGCATTGGTCAAAGGATTAGATGGCTCAGTGTGATGTTGAACTCCAATCCAAATCAAACACGACCAAGAGTTTCACTATTAAGTGATAAAACAGCACACATGGGATAGGACTATATTGCAACCCAAAAGCATAATTATAAATCTTAGAGTTTTATTCCATTATTCCTGTGAAAACGTAGTAACTCACTGAAATATAATACATAATCCCTTTTTTAAACTAAATGGAGTCTGAAGTCCCCTCAGTATGACACAGCAATCAAGTTACTGTTAAAATACATGCTTTTTTAGAGCTGCCTTACCCTTTTTTTTTTTCTAATATAACTTTGGCTTCCATCCATCAATGAATCTAATCATGTCTGTCTTACACTGAAGAGCACTCCAGTTAAGATATCTGCCTGGTGGGTGTATTTATAGATGGTGATGAAGTCATTCTTTAACCTTCTTTCAATCTAACAAAATAGACCGAGTTCTTTCACTGTTCTCCAGGCCACAAATCATGCCTTACTTCTTTGTTGAATACTCTCCAATTTTTGCACATTGTGTATAAAAATGTGTCAGCAGAAGTGAATTTGTTATTCCAGCACCAGCCTTACCACATGCTAAGCAGCAACTGTATCTCCTCTAACCGCTCCACACTCCCATTTACACACTTAAGGACCACATCACTCCTGAGAATTCTTGTTTGTAACTGCCGGCACCAACACTTTAACAAGAAATTGGAACAACAGTCACACCCGTGCAATTACTCTTTAGTAAAAGCCAGGACAACACATGTCAGACAAGCTGAAAACTCACAGCTCACACAAGATTACACAACAGCACGGATTCCCTTTACCTCCTATTTCCTGACATTTTTCAGAACACACATGCAGGAGACTAGAACTTGAAGCACACTCTTCTACCACATTCCATATATATATATATATTTAATACTGAGGGAGAAAAAGCTTGCTTAGCTATAGATTTAAGTCCACTAAGATGAGTGTAAGAACTTCCTTACCAAAAAGGACCAAGTAAGTCTTCTTCACTTTGTGTATACCTCCAAGACCACAAACATTATTCCCCTCTCAGATACTTGTTAGCAAGGTGAACGTTACGCATTACCATAGCACAAAATCCAACCCATTTCATACACAATGCCAATTTACAAAGTGAAGACTAATTTTATAATATTGTTTCCAGTCACAGTCCAGGGCCTGAGGTGAAGCAGTATGGAACAAAGGCATTATATACCATTCAGTCTTACAATCAATTCAGTCCCAAAGGACAGAACTTAATAACTTTTTTTTTTTTAAAGTTTTCGACAAAGTTCCAGAGTCTCACAAAACAGGAAAAAACTCACCATTCAGGCCCAAAGTTAAGTGTCTGAGTTTCTGCTGCCATTTTTTCCTGTTCTATTCCTGTTTTTTAAAATGCGTGAACCTGAAAAATAAAAATGTTTACTATGAGAACAACTGAATTAATACAGCCCTTCATAAATTTCTTCACAATACAAAAGCACACCTCATTATGCTAAGAAGTAGAAAAAAATTACTACACAGAATTTTGTGGTTTATTGGTTTGAGTGGTTTTGGTTTTTTGTTATTGTTTTTTTAAGAAACCCATTTCAGCTCTCCAACACAGGTTAATTTCATAATAAGGGAGTACAGAATCACAGAATGCTAGGGCTGGAAGGGACCTCTAGAGATCCCCCAGGGCAGCCACACAGGAACGCATCCAGGCGGGGTTTGAAAGTCTCCAGAGAACGAGACTCCACACCCTCCCTGGGCAGCCTGGGCCAGGGCTCTGGCACCCTCACAGTGAAGAAGTTTCACCTCATGTTGAGGTGGAACTTCCTATGTTCTATCTTAAACACATTATTCCTTGTTCTATTGCTGGGCACCGCTGAGAAGAGATTGTCCCCTTCCTCTTGACCCCCACCCCTCAGATATTTCTCTACATTAACAGGGTCCCCTCTCAGCCGTCTCCTTTCAAGGCGGAACAGCCCCAGTTCTCAGTCTCTCTTCACAGGAGAGATGTTCAAGTCCCTTCATCGTCCTCGTAGCTCTCCCTTGGATTGTCTCCAGTAGGTCCCTGCCTCAACTGTAATAACTAAGTAACTATAATACTGTAATAACAACCTCTAATATAAAAGAAATAGAGGATTTTTTCACTGGTTTTTGTGTGGTTCTTTTTATTGGTTTTTTTTCAATTGTTAAGAAGTCCATTTCAGCTTTCCAAGACAGGTTAATTTACCAATACAGGAGAAACTGCATTGAAGTCTTTTCCCCCATTTCCTCTTCTAACAGCTCAAACTGGACACTGGATGAGAATGTCTGAAGAAACAATTTGCACAGTCCCTTTTCAAACCAGTCATTACCACAAGACAACCAGAGAATTTGATGCATAATCATCTTCTATAAGAACAGTAATGCTTAATTAACAGAATTGCAGCTTCCTGACAATTACAAGAGGATAAAATAACCACCAGAATTACAGCAAGAAAGATTTGCCAGTTGAGTGGCAGAGTATTCAAGAAATTTCCACTGCTCAAAAGAAGCCTTCTAAAAGATCGAGTATAAGCAATGCTGTGACATCCCCCTAAATCTGCAGACAAATGACATGGGTTTTCTTGTCCTTCGTTTTATTAAGCAAAGAAAAATGTACAACTTCAGACTTCAGCTACTTTTAACCCTGTTAGCCCAGGTCCTGCAGACGCTAGTGAAGGGCACATTCCTATCCACCAAGAGCATAAGAAGCCATGGAGGGAAAGAAAAAGAACGAGACCAAGGCAAGGCCACAGAGTTTTCTCTACCGACACCAAGTCCAGCCCAGACAGTTCTGGAGAAGTGTCTTTTGCAGTGAGAAAACAGAGCTCCTCTTTCCTTCCAGTAACAGTATAAAAATAAACACACTTGTAGCCAAAGCCCAAACCAAAAAGAATTTGAAGCATACCTACAGTAACTGGTTGATTAGACTTCACAAACCTATAAAGACAGACAGTAGGGTGGGAGTGTTGTCATAGCAGAAATAAGGAGCTTCCTAACTTTGCCTGCAGTTTGCACAAAATGTGATGGAAAAGAAAAACAAAACAAAACATTGGGATAGAAGTGGAAAGGGCAGTAATTACAGAAGAAAAAGAAAATCAAACAGAGGAAATATTTTTCTTATATACATGCAAATTATATTAAAGTTATAAAAAACTTTAACAGCCTGAAAACTAGAAAATGCCAAAAAACTCACAAACCTATGCTAAAACTGCATGAGTAGATTTTACTAAAATCTTTTGGGTGTAAGATTATAAATAGTTGTGAAACTCCCTGTAGCCTAAACTGATTGACCAAGACTCGGCCATGTCTTTTTACTACATGCCATATTAATTTTTCCCATATACTATAAAAATAATGCAATTTCTATATGAATTATTTTCACAATAACCCTATATAATGAAATGGGATTATTCCCACTACATGTACCAAAAGCTAATACAAAAATATCCAGCTGTTCTCACAGGCCTAGTTTGAGGGGATTTTGGTCTCATTTGGATTGCTCTTCTGAAGTAGCCTACAGCTCACTAGAACATTCACAGAATATCCACGCATCATCCTGCAAATTAAAAGGTTGAGTACGTAAAGAAAACACACAGCAGCCTCGTGTGAAAATATGAAACCACACAGGAAAACAGCAAACCTCTCGTGCACTTGGGCAGCAACAAGCCTAATGTAATTCCCAGTAGCCTTAATTGGATGGCTGTCCCTTCGTTTCCTGCGACGCCCATAATCCTTCTGCTGGGGGGGATGAGGGGGGAGAGCTTTCAGATCAACCCATGTGGATCACCAGGGAACCTGGGATCTTTAGCTCCTAACAAAGCTAGCTTAGAGGCAGTAATACCAAAAAGATTGGTGCTGAACGTTAAACTGCAACGAAAACACAACTGAAAAGCATCAGATACAAGGAGAGAGCATTAAAAACCAGCTGGGATCAAGCAGTTCACTAGTTCTTGACCACTGGGCCCTCCGGCCGCTTCAGCCTTTGGGTCTCCTTTCCAAAAATTGAGGATACTGTGCCATCTTTCTCTACTAGACTCCTAAGCACTTTAGTACCTATAAACATAGTCAAAGCCTGCTAATCTCATCTCACTGAGCTGCAAAATGGCTTTCCTCGTCCCTCATTTTGGTCATCACACTTTGTTTTGGGAACTGTTTGCTGGCTTCCTCTTCTGTGTTGCATTCAAATAAATTGCCTCCTCCCTAGAAGCTCTGACTGTACAAATTTTGAATTCAAAGTGAGACACTTGCATGCAGATGAAATTGTAGCTGAACAGGAATAAAATCCCACAAAAATAAAAAACAGCTCTCCAGATGATTTGAGTAGGTGTGACAGGTGAACAGGCAACATTACTCAGAAATAAAACATACATGAAAAAAAATTACAGGCAAAGCCAAGAAAACTCCCTTGGAAAGGAGGCACTCTGGAAACAGGTAATGATTTGGAAGGATGGGGGCAGAGCAACGTGGAAAAGAGACTCAAGAAAGCTGAGACAGCAAGTGTGTGAGAGCAGCACGCTTTGCCATGTCAGAACAGACAAACTAGGAAAAGCAAAAACCATGTGCTGCTTCTGCTGGGTCACCAAGCAGCAGCCAGAAGGTGAGAGCCCAGACAGCAAACTGGAGAGGAACCTCTGCCTGCACCACACGTGTAGCTGGTGCGTGGAGGAGAAGCTGTACTAACTGGAAAGGCAAGTTGGGGTGGACCACGCAGCACCTGGATTGTTCAGAGGAAAGCGTCAGGGTGGAGCAAGAAAAAGGGTGAGGAATTAAGAAAAGGGCACGAATAATCAGGTCATAAAGTGTTTTAGCTAAGGAAAAGTCACAGATTTATCAGATCTTTATCATCTAGATAACTTTTACAGGTTCTACACTTCAATATTAATAATATTATAATTTTGGTCTTTTTTAATCTATGCTGCCTCCTTATCAATAAAGGATGGCAAATGACAAAAATAATATATATCTAACACATTTCTTCCTTGTTATAGTTTGATGCTGGGAAAGTCTGAACTGTTAGTTTGGTAAACCAAGATTTTCTACAAATTAATGACTATTCACTGAGGGATCCGCACAGCCACAGATTTTATACGGGCAAAGAGCACAGAGGGAGAACCTCAAGCTGAAGCAAGGAACCGAGGCCATATTTTGATACTGTCCAGTTAGCACCTCTCCTTGGGCAAGCATGATACCCAAGGACTTCCCACCACTGCTTCAAGAGGGAACCTTTTACCCAAGGTTTTCTTCAAATCAAGTCAATCCTTGATCGATGTGCCAGTAAAACCCTACAAACAGTTGCAGCTTTCCCATGTATTTGGGGAAAAATGGAACTGGCGGTACCAAGCTCTCTACCAGCATGCAGGACTGAAAACAGAAGAAACTACATCAACCCCACCATCAACTGGATGGGGAGAAGGGAAAAAAACATCCCTTTTATTTTCTCAGCAGCTTAGTGCTTCGGAAGTCAGAAGTCCATCTTCTGAGAAGACACAAAATGTAATCCAATAACATTAAGCCTTTAAGTAGCTTTCACTCACAATTAACAGGTAATATTATAGGTACATAAGTTGCTATCAGCAACACTCAACTCATTTAATTGGTTTGCTTTAGGTACAATGCTTGTTTTACCAAGCTCAAGGTTTTTTAAAATTACTTTTTGAGCTTGCTTTTAGTACCTGACAAAGTTATTAAAGCTCTCAGAAACATCTGCTCCAAACACAAGCCAGAATTCAATTCTGCCAGCTAGATTTGTGTGTTAAAATGCATACGAAGATGTTTCAGTTTAAAAAAAAAAAAAAAAAGTAATAATCTAAGGAAGGTCTAGAATTACTGTGACACATTTTGGCCACAAACTCTGGTCTTTTAAAAAGTTTGGCTATCAAATATCTATGCAAAAAGCTGCTTTTCAGAGACTTTGAAAGATCTAACTGTCCTGTCTTCCAGACTTTGTGCAACATCAGAATTTACATGAAATTGCCATTTTAAGGTTTGTCACTTACGGACACTTGAGTCAACATTTTCAGTAATATTAACTCCTGCACTTCCATTACAGGATTCTGCTAGCTTGTATCGCATCAATCCATCTCACCAAGCCCTTTTGCTGTTTTGGACAGGCGACAGGATTGATTCTTAGCATCTCAAGTCTAGGCAATGACTGCATTCAGGTCTGCCCATCTAATCTTTCCAATGGAAAACAAAAATAAAAAGAGATTTGGACTGTCAGTACAAATTATAGCTCTGGGGTTGCTGCTTGCTTAGTTTTTTTACTAACTTTGGACACCCAACCTTGGGAAAAAGGTGCACCACCGATTCTTCCTATACACAGCGACTGTATTTTGAAATGGTCTACTGTTTGATCATATATCTTCAGGAAGAAAAGTATCCTCTCTTTTCAAGGTAGTTCTGTTCCTACTGTAGGTTTGAAAGAGCCTTTTTAAACTAGAAATTGGCTGAAAATTTTGAGAACCAAAGAACACAATGGAAATGTAACATAAGCAGATCTGAGTGCAAGGAAATGGGCTCTCCTTAAATAAACTTGGAACAGGAATTTAACAGCAGTGCTCCACCATGCAATAGGAACATTACATCAAGATGATAAAACTTCCACCTTCACAAGCAAGAAAACATTCCACAGGCAGCTACTAGAGCTAGCTAATTTCAGTGCCAGTAACTGTATTTAAAAAAAACTTAACAGGTTGACTGAATAATTAATGCTGATTTTCTCTAATTCTTGAAATATTAAAGATACAAAAGTGTATGCACGCTGCCTTTTAAGTACAGCAGTAAACAGGATGACTCAGGTGGCTACACTACCAGTCTGTTTGATATTAATCATTGGCTAAAGCAGACAACACTGATTAAAGGACACTGACATAATTAAGGGCAGCCAACATGGATTTATGGAAGACATTCAATCAAAATATACTTTTGTTAGAGTAGAAAATCTACTGCTCAAGCAAGTGAAATAAATTTTAACTTCTACAAGACATTTTGATTGAGTGGAATGCTGAAAAGGACAAAATCATTGAGAACCATGTGAATTCCCATATCATAACAACCTATATTCTCTTTTAACCTTCTTTTCTAAATCAACCCTCCTCAGAAGGCAGAATGTTCTCCAAAAAAAAAAAAAAAAAAAGAAAAAAAAGACAAGCTATTCTTTGCTTCTAGAGAATCTGTAACACTGGCCCACATAACTTCTAAAACCTGAGGATGACAAACGTGGATATGGTAAATAATGGAAATGACGCATCATCAATACCACCATTATGAATTATTCAACTACTGGGTCCAGTATAGCAGGTTGCATTTAATAAGGCCAAGCAAAAGACTCACAGAAGAGTCACAAGCAGAAAACAGGTAACATACAGCACATATAAGACTATTCTGGAACAGTCCTGAAGCCAATTTATGCCATTTATCAGCTGAAAAGGAACATATGATACAATACTGATTAGAAGACCTAACAGAAAAACACTGAATAAAGAAATAAGGAAATATAGGGTAGGTTTTATCACTGTAAGGATACTGGGTCCTGTTCTGCTGTCTGTAAGGCAAGAAAGCTGAAAAATCAGGAATTCAAGATATGCCTTGCAGTGAGGGGGGGAGAACAAAATAAAAACACCACCTCAAAAAAACCCACACACAAAAAAAAAAACCCACACCAAAGCTCTATTTATTGAGCTTTGAGAAAAATCAAAGTATCTTGCTCAGTCTATAAATGATCATACAGGTAAAAAAGGATGAAGGATGAAGAACCAAGTTTATTCAGTGAAGGGACTGAAGCATGACATTCAGAAACAAACAACAGCATAAGCCATTTTCAGGCCAACACTAAATGATTTTCTAAAAAGTACGTTCTACTTTAAACAGAAAATTAATCAGAAAAAAAAAATCCATGAGTCACATTACACAAGATGCCAGACAAGTCACAGTAGTCCCTTCTGGCTTACCAAGCCTTTTATCCTGATAAAGGCAGAAAATTT